CCTCGATTCCCCAGAAAATATTGGAAAATATGGGAATTGGGGGGGAAGACGAAAACCCAGAAAATATAGGAAAATATGGGGAATATTTTCATTTGTGTGTATTTATTTATGTGTCCTGGGGCCCCTTCATATCAATGCTTTCAAATTCAGCACCGGCGATTCATAGTGGGCAGTCTCGCCTGTGTGGCGGCCACTGCGGTCTGGGAGCAGCGAACAAAAAGAAAAAAGGTGCGTCCAAGATTGCTCCAGGATGGGCCGCGGCACCATCGTGGTAACATGTCATGTGGTGCGCGTTCCGTCCCAACCGCGCTCTGAAGGCTTCCGGACAAGTCACGCGAAAAGCCCTGGGGTCGCCTGTGGGCGCCCAGGATCGCCTGGAGTTTCGGGCTCGGGCAGGCCGAGAGCACGTGCGTTGCTCAGCGCAGAGAAGTCGAAGGGACCGGAGGGCTCTCCTCTCAGTGCCTCGGCGGAGCACAGCACGACTGTGCATATCAGTACATGTCTCAGGTGTCATGGCATCACACTGCATTGCCAGTCCCATCCTACTGTCAAAGCCGTGTCCTTGTCGTGCACGCCGTGAAGATACATACATACACACGTCGCACCGTATCGTAGCATGGTGTTATACACTACATCATTGCATGGCGAAGCGTAACATCTTATACAATTGGTTTCTACATCGTTGGGTAGTATTGTGCAACAGTTCGTAACATCGCGTGATATATTTTAGCATGACGTTGCACCGCTTGCCATGTCATAGCATGGCATATCATCGTGACAGCGCGTATCACTGCTTGTGTATGCAGATCTAACCACACCAGGCCAGCTCATAACCCAACGTGCGCCTCGAAGTCTTACACTGCGCGTCGGAACAGGGTTCATCGGCGCAAATATGATCATCGCATCGCCCATCGTTTTATACCATGGCGTAACAGTGCATGGTTCAGCTAGTTCAGACTGCGTGGGGGGTGAGCTGCCTTACATTATGCCTGAGTGCGTGGCCGACGTTGCTCATAGTGTCGTGGTCGTCAGCGGCGTCTTGCGTCTCGCCCGCCTCCCGCAAGCGCCCCACCCGCGCTCTGCCCGCAACTTGCATGCTGCGGACCCGCGACCCGCCCGCGACCCACCCCCGACCCAAGGCGCGACCCGCCCCCGATCCGCCCCCGATCCGCCCCGCGACCCTCCCGGCCCACCCGCGGCCCGCCCGTGCTGCTCTGAGCATCCGCGCGCGCGCGCTGCGGGGGCTGCCCTGCGCTCCCCCCCCCCCCCTTCCGGAGAGCACCTCCGCGCGCCCCCCTCGCGCGACCTGCCTCCGCGGCCCGCCGACCCAGGCCTTATAGGCGGTCGGAGCCTCCCGCCGGGCTCTCGCGTGCCTCTAGAAAGGGGGGGCAGGCGGGCGCGAGGCGGGAGGGGACGAGGAGGGGAACGGGGGGCCGGAGGGCCTGCGGGGGCGAGGGGGGGCAGAGGAAGGGGGAAAGGGAGGGGAGGGGAGGGAGTGCAGGGGTGGGGTGGGGGGGGGGGCGGGGCGGCAGAGAGGGCGCCAGCGAAGGAAGCAAGGAGGAAGCCTGGGGGGAGCTGGGGAGGGAGGAGGCAGGTAGGGGGGGAGGGGGGAGGAGGAGGGGGATAATGGTGATGATGATGATGATGCTGCTGCTGCTGATAATGATGATGCTGGTGATGATGATGATGATGATGGTGGTGGTGGTGATGATGATGGTGGTGGTGGTGGTGATGATGATGATGGTGGTGGTGATGATGATGATACTGATGATGATGCTGATGGTGGTGGTGATGCTGATGGTCATGATGATGCTGTCGCTGATGATGATGCTGATGTTGATGATGATGCTGATGCTACTGACGATGATGGTGGTGGTGATGATGATGATGATGATGATGATGCTGATGCTGATGTTGATGATGCTGCTGCTGCTGATGATGGTGATGCTGCCTCACGCAAAGCAAGGTACAGGAGGTCCGACCTCGCTGGCGTTGGGGAAGCAAATCACGTAAGTGCCCCGCCCCTGAGGCTTCAGACAACGCCTGATTGGGGAGCTGCTCGTCGGTCCTTGGGATGGTCTCGTGCCACCGCTTGACGAGGCCCGAGTGATTGGCCGGAGTGTCACGTGGGAGGGACCTGGGGACATATTTTGGGCAGGTGGTGGATGGGATGGGGGGCAGTGCTTTCTGCAGAGCGCTTGGGGGGGGGGGGGGGAAGCGGGCGCGAGGTGGGAGGGGAAGTGGAGGGGAGGGGGCCTCAGGGCCTACGGGGATGAGGGGGGCAGAGAAAGGGGGAGGGAGTGCAGGGATGGGGGGGGGAGTTGGGGGGGGGGGGGGGGGGGGCCAGAGAGGGCGCCAGGGAAGGAAGCAAGGCGGAAGCCTGGGGGGAGTTGGGGAGGGAGGCAGGGCGGGAGGGAGGGAGGGAGGGAGGGAGGGAGGGAGGGAGGGAGGGAGGTAGGGAGGAGGAGGAGGAGGAGGAGGAGGAGGAGGAGGAGGAGGAGGGGGAGGAGGAGGAGGAGGAGGAAGAGAAGGAGGAGGAGGGAGGAGGAGGAGGAGGAAAAGGGTGATCATGATGGTAATGATGATACGTATGATGTTGGTGATGGTGATTGTGATATTGATGGTGATGTTGGTTGTGATGCTGATGATGATAATTTTGATGAAGATCTCAATTGTGATACTGACGCTTATGATGATGTGGATGGTGGTGATGATATTGATGATGCTGATGCTGATGATGAGGACGATGATACTGCTGATGATGCTGGTGATGCTGATGCTGCTGCTGATTATGATGATGGTGGTGGTGGTGATGGTGGTGGTGATGATGATGGTGATGATGCTGCCGCTGATGATGATGCTCATGTTGATGATGCTGCTACTGATGATGATGGTGGTGGTGATGATGATGATGCTGATGCTGATGTTGATGATGCTGCTGCTGATGATGATGCTGCCTCACGCAAAGCAAGGTACAGGAGGTCCGACCTCGCTGGCATTGGGGAAACAAATCACGTAAGTGCCCCGCCCCTGAGGCTTCAGACAACGCCTGATTGGGGAGCTGCTCGTCGGTCCTTGGGATGGCCCCGTGCCACCGCCTGACGAGGCCCGAGTGATTGGCCGGAGTGTCACGTGGGAGGAGAAGGGGATGATGATGAGGAGGAGGAGGAGGAGGAGGAGATGGATGATATTGTAATGATGATAATGATGATACTTATGATGATGGTGATGGTGATGGTGATATTGATGGTGATGCTGGTTGTGATGCTGATGATGATGATGATCTCAATTATGATACTGACGCTTATGATGATGTGGATGGTGGTGATGCTGTTGATGATGCTGACGCTAATAATGAGAACGATGATGCTGATGATGATGCTGCTGATGCTGATGCTGATGCTGATGATGATGATGATGATGATGATGATGATGATGATGATGATGATGATAAAGATGATGAAGCCGGTGATGATGATGCTGACGACAATGATGACGGCGATGATGATGCTGATGATGATGTTGATGGTGATGATGCTGTTGATTATGGTCATGCTGAAGCTGATGATGATGCTGATGATGCTGATGATGAGGAGGAGGAGGAGTTGGAGGATGATGCGGCTGCTGATGATGATGCTGATGGTGATGATCATGATGCTGATTCTTATTATGAGGATGAAGATGATGATGCTGCTGATGATCATGATGACGCTGATGATGATGATGCTGATGATGATGATGATGATGATGATGATGATGATGATGATGCTGATGATGATGATGATGATGATGATGATGATGCTGATGCTGCTGATGATGATGATGAGGAGGAGGAGGAGGAGGAGGAGGAGGAGGAGGAGGACGACGAGGAGGCGAGGGAGGCGGCAAGGCCGTCTGTTGTAGGGCCTTCTCGCGCCACGATTTCACGAGGACCTTCTCCAGACCCCCGCCGCCTCGGACGCCCCCGCGGGCCCGCCAGGACGGCAGAAGCACCTGCCGAGCACGCATGGAATTCACGTCCTCCCCTGACCTTCCAGGGAGGGCACCTCCTTGGTCCTTGCTCCAGCCGCTGCCTCCTCTGCGACGGGAGGGCCGAGAAGAGCCCCCCCCTCCCCCCGAACACATACCCCAATGGAAATCGTTTTCTTCCTCCCTGTTTTGCCGATCGGCGCCGTCCCTCGCACCCCCCCGCTTCCGCCCCCCGTGGAATAGATCTGGGCTGTCTTTTGGCGCCTCTTTCGAGCAGGTGGAGCCTCCCCAGCAGGGCGCACTGCTGCAAACAGTCGCATTGAGCAGAGGTCCGCAGCCAGACCCCCCCCCATCCCCACCCCCCTTCTAACCCAATGTCGAAACGCCGAACAAGGAAACGCTCACATGCGGATGCCCCCGCAGTGGCAACCTCGTAGCTCGTCCTTGGAGCCCTTCGCGGCGGCGGTCTTGATTCCGCCTCCTCCGCCTCTGCCTCCGCCTCCGCGTCCTCCAGAGGTCAGCCATAAGAGCACCAGGGCTTTTAAGGTCAGACTCAGTAGAGGCCTTCTCATCAGCCCCGATGGGTCTGTTGGTCTGGAGGGCGGCTTCAGGCACTATGTAAGGCCCGGGCCATCGACCCCCGGCAGCTGGGGGCCGAAGCGCTCCCCCGAGCCATCTGAATCAAGCAGCGGCAGCGGACCTGCTTTGCCTATGGGCCAGCCAAACGATGTTCTAGGAACCTCTTTTGTGGTCTGCACGAGGTGTCCTCAGCGCACTTCTGGCTCAGGCGGTCTTGTCTCAACACACCAGGCCTCTGTTCTCTAAGAGCATCGTTTTGGTTATTCGAGCATGTCTGGGTCTTGAGAAGATGTCGCGGCACGCCTGCAGGAATGCCGGGACGGTCCGCCCCCTGCTCGACGGAAGCCGCTCCGGGCTCCTCCGGGGCCCGAGGGCCGAGCTCCCTGGCGCCCAGGCGAGCGGCTGGCCGCGGGACGCCCCGGCGGCGCTGCGGGGCGGCTCCAGCTCGCCAGGCGGCGGCACGAGCCCGTCCGCGCGGCAGCGGCGCGGCGAGGGCGGGGTTCAGTCGGGCACGTCCCTCTACAGGAGGAATACTCAGACAGAGGCAGGAGCTAGTCCGGGGACTATTTTGCGAGCATTTTTTGGCCGGGAGGTGCTTTTGGACTGCTTTCGGTTTTCGTCCAAAGTCTGCCCGTAGAAGAACACGCCCGACCTAAGGGCAGGGAGGAGGCCCGAGGCGTGCGCGGGATCGTTTGTGTGGTTGCAGGCCCGGCGTGCTTCCCAAGCTCCCGCTTCTGGGCGCCGTCTCCGCGGGCCTTCTGGGGCGTGGGCCCGGCACGGGACGTCTGCCCTACGGGAGGAGCGGGTCGGCAGCTCGGTGGCCGCGGATTTTGAAGAGAGTCGCACCGGCGGATGTCTGGGAGGAGGAGGGTCGAGGCGGCGCGGCGCGAGGGAGGAGTGGCGAGGAAGGAGGATGGGCGAGGACGGAGGATGATGATAGGGCGAGGGGTGAGGAGGTGGGGAAGGAGAACAAGGAGGAGGAGGACAATGGCAGTGTCTTTAGGAGTTCCGGTGTCTACAGCCACAGCAACATAGGAAGAGAAGGAGGAGGTGTGAGGAAGGAGGAGGAGGTGGAGGAGGAAGAGGAAGAGCCAATGTAAACCCAAGGCTCATGGGCGCTGTTGGAAGATACCCACCCTCTAAGATCCTTTTTTTTTCATAGGCCTCTACAAAGGTTAATTTCTACTGATGGAAGTGCCCCGCTGGGAGAAAATAGTTTGAAGATCCTGAAGCGTGCCAGAACACCATTCTCAGGATGTCAACGCCACGGGTCCACATGATGCGTTGTGACGATCTTGAGCCGTGCAATAACTCCGCGAGTCAACGTACTGCGCCTTGCTATTCCAGAACGAATGTTGCAATTTGTTGAAACGAATGTGTGCGGCGCTGCGGCGAGAGCCACATTTTGAAAAGGAGCCGCCCACGATTCGTGAAATCCTTGCAATTTCATGAACGAATGTGCGCGGCGCTAAGGCTAGAGTCACATTTTGAACACGAACCGCCCTCAACCGGTTAAGCTCTTGCAAGTGTTTAAGGCGCATGTGCGCGGCGCTAAAGCGAGAACCACATTTTGAAAACGAGTCGCCGTCAATTTGTTAAACTCTTGCAGAGTTTAGGAACGAGTATGCGCGGCGCTGAGGGTTTTTGAAGCGACCCACCCTCACTTTGTGAAGCTGTTGCTGCCAGTTTTGAAGTTTGAGGCTCGTACATGTTAAAATATGTCTCATGCGAAACGCCTGGCCCGCCCTTCCGACTGGACTCGGGGTGCGACAAGGAGGAGTTCATCATAAGGAGCAAGAATGGAGGAGGAGGAGAAGGAGGAGGAGGAGGATTAGGAGAAAGAGAAGGAGGAGGAGGAGGAGGAGGAGGAGGAGGAGGAGGAGGAGGTGGAGGAGGGGGGGGGGGGGGAAATGCTGGTTGAGAGAGGAGAAGAAGAGGAGGAGGAGGAACAGGAGGGGGAAGAGGAAGAGGGGGAGGAGGAGGAGGAGGAGGAGGAGGAGGGAGGACCAGTGTAAGCCCAAGACTCACCAACGATGTTGGAATACATCCTCCCTCCGAGCCTCCCCCTTCAGAGGCCCCAGCAAGGGGTTCACTTCCACCAGCGTGCCGCTCCGCCGGTTCTGGCCCACCATCTCCCAGCCTCCCGTCCGGCGAAGCGGAGCCACACGCGGTCCGCTTTCAAGGCACCGCCTGTCGCCGGGGCCGCCGCCGCGACACGCTGAGCAAAAGTGCAGACCGCAGAGCATCCGCAGCGCAGTCAGAAGTCAGATGACGCCGGACGTGTCGCCGCGCTGTCTGTTTCGGCGCGCGGCCTTCTGGGGGGCAGGCTCCTCCTCGGACGCGCGGAGTCTGCCGTGGGCTTGCCTCGGTGTCGGTTTCGTCCACCTGGGGGCGTCGAGAACAGATGGTGCGGCGACATACCTGGGGCGTTCCAATCGAGGGCCTCGCCTTCGAGGACCCATGGAGTTGCCACCTCGTCCACGGCGGACGGCGGCTGAAGGTGGGCGGAGGGCGGCGGAAGTAAAAAGCGTGGGCGGCCTGCCGCCAGCGGCAGGCGGCGGCAGGCCATCGGAAGCTGAAGTCGACCCCACAAGAAATGACAACATTTTTGGAGTCAGGGGTTCCGGAATCGGCCGTATATATCCAGACCCCCGCCGCCATGATTTGTTCATGGCGCGATCCCCACAGGTCCGGGCCCATTTCCCGGGACTGGTTTTGCATCCCGAGTGTTTTTTTTCTGACGGCTCTCCGAGGCCTGGTATAAGGGCCCGCAGAGGCTAGAAGTGGCGAAGAACTTGCGTCGTGATCTTTTCACAGCGCGAGGGGGTCTGGGCATGTCCTGCCCATCCGCGTGCAGCCCCCCATCCCCTCGCCCCCCCCCTCGAGGATAGATCGTTCCAGCGAAAAGATGCTCGTGCAAGCGCAAAGCTGGTTCGTTCCAGCGAAAAAGCGCAACCAGCTGAAATACTACGCAGATAGACGCGGCCAGACACAGGGGACACCAAAAGGGACACAGAGGGGGGGACGCCTGGGGGACACAGGGGGGGGAGCACGGCAGGACGCAGAGGGACATCCGAGCGTGATCCAGGCCAGGCCCCCCCCGAGCGGCCCGCGCGCACGGCCGAGCCGAGGGGGCCCCGCCTCCGGCCGGCCGGGCCCGCGGAGGGCGCCGCGGCGCCCTCCGCGCCCTCGGAGGGCGCCGCGGGCCTCGGGGTATGCACGGCAGGGTCGGGCGCTGCCGGGGCTCCGGAGGCGGGGGTCCGTGCTCGGGTGCAGCCCAGAGGCGGAGCTCCAGGCATGTCGGGGCTCCAGAGGCGGAGGTCGGGGCTCCAGAGGCGGGGGCTCCAGAGGCGGGGGCTCCAGAGGCGGGGCCCCAGAGAAACAGGGGGACCCGGCTAGGTAGCAGGGCCCCGGAGCACCCAAATTTGCCAGAAGCACTATAAGCCAGGTCTGCCGTACAGCTGGTGTTTTTCCCCACATCCTGAGTGGGGTTCTTGTTTTCCCAGAACACCCTCTCCTTCCCACCCACCTCCCGCTGCATCTTCCATACAGCACAATATTATTCCTACCACACACACCATACCATACCATAGTTCCTACCACACATACCATACCATACCATACCATACCATACCACACCATACGTACCATACCGTACCATACCATACCATGGCGTACCATAGCATACCATACTATTTACCTGGTTTCGTGCCCCTCCCACCCCTCCAGGGAGGCCCCGCCTGAGCGAGGAGGGTATCGGAATACCATACTATTTACATGGTTTCGTGCCCCTCCCACCCCTCCAGGGAGGCCCCGCCTGAGCGAGGAGGGTATCGGAATACCATACTATTTACATGGTTTCGTGCCCCTCCCACCCCTCCAGGGAGGCCCCGCCTGAGCGAGGAGGGTATCGGAATACCATACTATTTACATGGTTTCGTGCCCCTCCCACCCCTCCAGGGAGGCCCCGCCTGAGCGAGGAGGGTATCGGAATACCATACTATTTACATGGTTTCGTGCCCCTCCCACCCCTCCAGGGAGGCCCCGCCTGAGCGAGGAGGGTATCGGAATACCATACTATTTACATGGTTTCGTGCCCCTCCCACCCCTCCAGGGAGGCCCCGCCTGAGCGAGGAGGGTATCGGAATACCATACTATTTACATGGTTTCGTGCCCCTCCCACCCCTCCAGGGAGGCCCCGCCTGAGCGAGGAGGGTATCGGAATACCATACTATTTACATGGTTTCGTGCCCCTCCCACCCCTCCAGGGAGGCCCCGCCTGAGCGAGGAGGGTATCGGAATACCATACTATTTACATGGTTTCGTGCCCCTCCCACCCCTCCAGGGAGGCCCCGCCTGAGCGAGGAGGGTATCGGAATACCATACTATTTACATGGTTTCGTGCCCCTCCCACCCCTCCAGGGAGGCCCCGCCTGAGCGAGGAGGGTATCGGAATACCATACTATTTACATGGTTTCGTGCCCCTCCCACCCCTCCAGGGAGGCCCCGCCTGAGCGAGGAGGGTATCGGAATACCATACTATTTACATGGTTTCGTGCCCCTCCCACCCCTCCAGGGAGGCCCCGCCTGAGCGAGGAGGGTATCGGAATACCATACTATTTACATGGTTTCGTGCCCCTCCCACCCCTCCAGGGAGGCCCCGCCTGAGCGAGGAGGGTATCGGAATACCATACTATTTACATGGTTTCGTGCCCCTCCCACCCCTCCAGGGAGGCCCCGCCTGAGCGAGGAGGGTATCGGAATACCATACTATTTACATGGTTTCGTGCCCCTCCCACCCCTCCAGGGAGGCCCCGCCTGAGCGAGGAGGGTATCGGAATACCATACTATTTACATGGTTTCGTGCCCCTCCCACCCCTCCAGGGAGGCCCCGCCTGAGCGAGGAGGGTATCGGCCCCGTGCCCCTCCCACCCCTCCAGGGAGGCCCCGAGCGAGGAGGGTATCGGAATACATACTATTTACATGGTTTCGTGCCCCTCCCACACCTCCAGGGAGGCCCCGCCTGAGCGAGGAGGGTATCGGAATACCATACTATTTACATGGTTTCGTTCCCCTCCCACCCCTCCAGGGAGGCCCCACCAAAGCGAGGAGGGCATCAAGAAAATGGGTCCCACGAAACCGTTAATCTCTTTATGTGGGGAACTCCGTTAGCATAATTTTTCGGGGGACGGCAGTTCCGGTTGTTAGTGGAACGGGGCGGGGGGGGGGGCGTCCCCCAGCGCACATCATGAAACCAGGTCCCACTGAACCCAGTTCTGCCAACTCCCGACATGCGAGCGGGGGTCAGTCAGAGCGCCGGATCCTGCAGGGTCCTGCAGGGCCAGGGTTCAAGCAGTGGCGAAGCGTCCTGGCCTGCCTATGGGCCTACCAAACAGTGTTCTAAGAACCTTGTGTGGTCTCCACGAAATGTTCTTGGAACATTTCTGGCTGG